GCTGAAGCAATGGTTAGGAAACCGGAGAAAACCTTCGAGTCGGCAACATGGGCAACATGGGCCTCGGCTTCCTTGTGCTTGCGCATGAGCTCTGCCTCTTGCTTTCTCTTCAAAGCCTCGTCAAGCAATGTTGAAGAATTCCGAAAATTAACCAGGACTCGGATGACAAGACATGCAACACGGGCCTCGGCTTCCTTCTGTGCACGCAAGAGCTCTTCCTCGGCTTTCTTCAAATCCTGCTGAAGCAATGGTGAGGAAGCCGGAGAAAAGCTTCGAGTCGGCAACATGGGCCTCGGCTTCCTTCTGTTTGCGCAGCAGCTCTTCCTCTTGCTTTCTTTTCAACTCCTGGTCACATGTAGCTGAGGAAACCCTGAAACAGAAGAGTCGGACGGCTTATAAGGGCCTCGGCTTTGCGCAAAAGATCGGCTTCCTTTCTCTTGTAAGCCTGTTCAAGCAATGGTCAAGAAATGCCAAAAGCCATGACTAGGGCCGGAACACGGGCCTCGGCTTCCTGCTGCTTGCGCAAGAGCTCCTCGCATTCTTTTATTTTCAAGGCCTGAAAAAGCACGGGCGAGGAACACAAACCAAAACCCAGCTTGTTGTTTCGAGGCAACCTCAAAACAGCAACGCGGTTAATTAAGTCACATGGGCCTCGATTTCTTTTAGCCTGCGAAGTTCGAGGACTTTGGCATCCGCCGTTGTCGTTGACTCATCCTCAAAGGCCTCGCTGGCCTTTCTTTTATTGCAGCTGGCAGCTTCGTCAGCATGCATTTCGTCAATCATAGCTTCCAGCTGGGTCTCGAGATCGTCGCCGACCCTCGCAGCACAGCAACCCTGCAATCATGCAGGGCAGCAGTAGCAACACAGCACACACACACACGCAAACAAGTCCCTGACGGAGCTGCCAGAGTGCTCAGCTGGCTTCCAGAGCCGACCGCCATGGCATGAAGAGCCTGGTCAAGGAGCTCGTCCTTGACTCTGAGCGTCTCTTTCTGGCCGGGCATCGCTGACAAACGGGACTACTCTACCCAAGAAAAGCCTGAGGATTCGACCCACAGCGACGCAATCAGAGTGCAGTGTGTGCGATTATTTGCATGATCGTTGGGCCAACATGGAAAAGGATACCAAGGACATTGCGCAATCTTGTTTTGTGTGAGCACTGACCAGCATCCAGGATCCACCACATCGTGCATGAATTTGGTGTCCCAACAGGGTAACGGGGGGTAACGGGTAGGTAACGGGTACGTCGAGAGCTATACTGTGCAGGTCTTTTATTTAGGTAACGGGTGGGTAACGGGTAGCATTTTGTGTGGATGGATCCATATAACTACCCGAACAGACCATCACACTGTTGCAGGAACCTATTCATGCCCATGGCAGCATGGTCCGCTTGGCTGCCCCGGACAAGATCAGCAATGAGCATCCTCGGGTGTTTGCCCGTGGTTGCATCAGCAAGGCTATGCCTTCGCTGAAAACCTTCGCAGTGAAGGGCTCGGTGATTCCGAGACCACCATCGGGCGATGGATGTAGCAAACCTGGCCGGGGCACATGATGCGTTCATTCCAACGTGTGTTTCAATCATCGGAACGTTGCACGGCTGGCCTTGTAGGATAGCACTGTGTCGCTTTGAGTCCCGGACCTCCCTGCACGGAAGTCTTTTGAGTTTCACCGTTCCATACCCTGAGCATCAAGGAAGCATCGCAAGTGCAAACCCAGCAAACTTTCCGCACACACAAAGGAAAGTATGCCAGGCTTGCCCTAGGGGCCGGTACGTGACTGGCCCGTTCCCAGTCTCCTTATCCTGCAGGTTGGTTGCATGGTTTGTGACCGAGACTTCGTTCATGAGGTGCTCCAGCAATTTTTCGCTGCAGGAGTACATCCAAACCATTTTTCGTGATGGGGCACCGTAACATCCTAGTGGAACATGCCCTCTCCATATACCTCGCAGGGTCGAGGAGTCTATAGGCAACGAAGGCGCAGAAGGAAATATTGCAACACCCAACAACACCCAACCTCCTGACTTGTCTTGGAAGTACTGGATCATGCTCTGGAATATTGGCTGTTCCGCCATCAGAGAGCCCAGCGGGTTCTCAATGGAGAAGACGGCTCCCATGTGCCAAGCCAAGAAGGCAAGCAGAACGGTTCTTTCCACAAGCCGGCTTCCTAGGGCGACGTAGTCCAGATGCTCATTGCCGACAGGCAGCCAGAGGCGTCGACCGTGAGTGCCGGCATTAATCCATGTGAAGGAAGTACACACGGTTCCAAAGTGCACGAAGGATCCGGGTCGCAGCCTGAGGATGCTGAAGAGCCCGGCCAGGAAACCTTCGGTAGAATCCAGGTCGTGAGTCTGGGAACCTGAGACAGGAACTACGACTGAGCAGCAGAGCGTGTCGAAAGTCTATAGATCCAAGGGGCGACTCAGGTCGAAAGCCTGCACTCTTCGGCCCAGTTGTTTGAAGCACTTGGCAATCTTGGCACTTCCACTCTGGCCGGCAAAGAACTCAATGCAATGCAGAGGATCGAGAAGCCCCTGCAGACACTGCAATCGTGGGATTGAAAAAGTGTTTCAGCAACACTCGGAATTGGAGCCGGCGGTGAAGGACTGAACAGAATGCTTAGATGAAATAAGGGCCTGTGCCAAGGGACGCCGAGCACGCAGAAGGCATGCGTAAAGCGTGGCTTCGACGAGCACCTGGCAAAGCAATGACAACTACCAACTCAGAGAGCAAGCTGGTACAGAAAGCAGGACAGCAAGACCCACGGACATTTCTTCACGTACAAGCCATAGACCAACGCCAGATCCATCAGGCAAAGCTGTTGCAGTCGGCACTGCAACCGGCCGGCATCGGGACGTCTCACGTCCATAATGCAAGATACTCATAAAGCGAGCCAAGCGGAGCTGAGGCTCGGGAACGGTTGCATCGGACAGACCTAATAAAATCATGGATCGATTCGATCGAGTGCCTGGCTGAGCAGTTGTCGAGCTTCCAGAGGATGCCGCCGCTTGCAGACGAAAACCTGCAGACGGCGTGCGTGACATATTTAATACCCATGATCGAGACGGCATGCTGGCCACACCAAAGAGTGGATCCTCGTCGCGCATGCACGCAGCCCTTTTGTTGTCTGGCCCCAGGTGCAGGCACTTACGTAGTTGTCAGCGCATTCACTCGATCCACCACGACCTTCAGCTCGATCTTGCCAGCGTTGAGATCATCCACCCATGATCTTATCGAACTCTCGACGTCGGGCGTGGCGTCTTTGCGGATTTGCACACATTGCTTGTCCTGCATTCTGTCCCAGACCACCCACAGATCGCAAGTTTTCCTCTTCACGGGTTTCACGTAATAGGGTGTCCATTTGCCGGAGCTCGCAGACTTCGACTTTTTTGCTTTTTTTTTGGCAGCCAGGGCAGCCTGCTTCTCGAGCTCGACCGGCGGGGCTTTCGAGGGAACATCCTCCAGATAGTCGGGCTCAGCAACATATGCAATGCGGGCAGTGACCTGGGAAGACCTGGCCTCGGAAGGGACGTTCTGAAGAACTGAGAATTGTAAATGTTTCAGCCGAGCATCGGGCTCCGGTTTTCGGTCGGAGCTGGCATCAGCAGGTGCGGCCGGAGCATCCTCCTGGGGAATGAAAGATTCACTCTGAAACGATAGATCGATATGAAGCACTGCCCGAAGCGAACATGCGTGCAGAACCAGCCTCCGATTCGGACAATTCCTGAATCCTCTCTTGCAGATGATCCATCAAAAGCTTCCTTTTTTTGCTGATCTGCATCTGCAATGTCGTTTCCTGGACATCGGGAAGCCGATATTTGCAATCTAGATATCGACACAAAATGCCATAGACAACGCCTCCAGAGTTTCTGTATCTTCCGCTGTTGCAGCGACATCTTCTTCCCCGAGGTTCCACTCGGCGGATATGCGAGCTGTCAGTTCATCTGTTTCTGAAGCCTGATCATGCATTCAACGGCCGGCCGCACATGTCGAATCATTCCACAGAATGTACAAAGGTGCCTCCAAACCCCACATGGCCGCTACGTCGGTGTCGTCATCTTCTTCCGGCTCTTTCATCACGTCCATGATCTCCAGGATTTTTGGATATCGCCCTTGAGACATCGTTCAGTGTTTGGAAGAACACAAGATTTGTTATCGAAAGGAACTGGGATGCTGACGCGCCGCAGGTGGCCAACCGGAAAGACCAGCAACCTTGCTCAAGTAACGCCAGCTTCGCCAGAGCTTCCTCAAGGACCTGTTGGGTTTAGGGTTCAGGGCATTTGGGGTTTTACGGGTGGTGTTTATAAATGAGTTACTGCGGTTTGGGTTACCTCAGGGGGACCCAGAAACATCGGTTGCAACCCAGCAGCTGCAGCATCATCTTGATTTCCACAACGTGCAAGAAGATGACATCTTTTTGCAGGTTAGCCGTATGCTTTTGGACAAAAGCATCCCAGACTCGCCCCAAGCCGTCCGTGCTGTATGGCAGCAGCGGGCTGGCATCCACCAGCGGCCTCAACAACCACAAGTGTTCCTGCGTGCATAGCTTTAATCGCGTTTGCATGCATGCGTCGTATATGATGAATGCACACTTGGAACTACTCGGCGTACCATGGATCATGCGGGGCCAGTCCTCCAGCTGAGCTCTTGATGCCATTTTTGTCTTAGGCGGCTTGCATACAGCAGCAAAGAGCTGGACACCGTCCTTTTGCAGCTGCTGCTTGAAAGCATCAGGCGCGCCTTCCCCGAGACGACACACAATGTCATTGCACTGCTCATCGTCCGGAGTGAACTCCACCATGCCCGCGGGGCGCCCGCGGCCACGTGACATCTCGAGCTGGGCTCGAGCAGAAATTCAATGCTGCATCATTCAAGACAAATATTGTGACAAACCGGCTTTGCATGCAGGCAGCAAAATTCCAAGCACTCACAGAGTTGGACCCGGGCCCACCTGCTTGAATGACACGTTTCTTCGTGATGCCCATGGATGTCCTTGGAGCTGCGGGCAAAACATAGCCAGATACGAGGAGTGACACATTTGGGATATTAGTCCTTGTGGTGGTGGTGGTGGTGGTGGTGGTGGTGGCGGTGGTGGCGTTGGTACATGGTGGCAGTCAGGGTGGCAAATATGCCAACGCCTGACGAGGTGGTATGAAGCTTGAGGTGGTACATGGTACTGGCAGTCGTCAGCGCGGCAGATGCCGTCGCTTGAGGTGGTATGATGTTTCAGGTGGTACATGGTACTGGCAGTCGTCAGCGCGGCAGATGCCGTCGCCGGAGGTGGTATGATGTTTGAGGTGGTACGTGGTGGCAGTAAGGGCGGCAGATGCCAACAGGTGGTATATAGGTGGTGGCAGTCAGGGTCGCAGATGCGAACAGTACATAGAAATAGTCCTGGCATCCAGGACAGTATTATACAGTGATTATGCAAACGATTATAATCACTTCTCTAAGTACATAGAAATAGTCCTGGCATCCAGGACAGTATTATAGAGTGATTATGGTGTTTACGCGTAGTACAGTGCTAGTATTTACTCGTAGAATGCAAACGTACAAGCTCGGAGCGTCTCCGCTTCACGAGGTTGTTTGTAGTAGTTGTAGCAATCAGCAGTATTAGCAGTAGTAGTAGTA